TAAAAAAAAAGACATAAATAGATGTAATATTATAATGAACCCCATATGCCTGTCACCCAGTCTTAATAATTAGCAACTCCCTACCCCATCCCATCTTATTATTTTGAAGCAAATCTCAGATATAGTATCATTTTACCTGTAACTATTTTTAGTGTGTAGCTCTAAAAAAAAAAATCATAATATCATAAATATAGCTAAGAATTGAACAACATAACAATAATTGGTTAATAGCATCATATTTGCAGTCAAGTCAGTGTTCAAGCTTCCAATGATCTCATGAACGGCATCTTTTTTTTTTTCCTTCAATTTGTTGTTTGAATCAGGATCCAAATAAGACCCACAAGTTGCAATCTGCTGAGCTGTCTCTAAGTCTCACTTAATTTCTCCTCTATATATTTCCTTTTTTTTTATTTCCCAAGTTTTCCTTACTAATCATATGGCTTTTCTTCTATAATAAGAGAGAAGAGCTGAGACATCAAAGCCAGCACTGGGTAAAGGTCTGCCCTCCACCTCTCCCCTACAGGACCAGGAGTTTCTAGCCAAGCAGAAGGAGGACCTGGAGCTGGCGATGAAGAGGATCACTGCCGAGAACAGGCGGGAGATCTGTGATAAGGAGCGCGAGTGTCTCAATAGGAAGCAGGAGCTCCTTCGAGGTGGGTGCCCTGAGTGGGGGGCGTCCTCTTGACCCAGAATCTCCATGAATGGACATCCTAGGCTTTGGAAGTGGGTGGGCAAGAAAGAACTGCTAGGTCCCCTCCATTCTAAAAACTAAGCATCCTTAGTGGTGAAATGTTAGAAAAAAACCCACTGAATTCAGGAATGAGGCAAGGATAGCAGTTATCACCAACACTTGTTATTGTTATTGTTGTTCGCTGCCATCAAGTCAGCTGCTGACTCATAGCAACACCACGCACAATGGAACTAAATGCTACCCAGTCCTGCACCATCCCCAGGATCATTCGAAGATTGGGTCTTTATGATCCATAGGGTTTTCATTTGGTGATTTTTGGCTGTAGATATCCACACCTTTCTTCCTAGTCTTTCTTAGTCTGGAAACTCCATTGAAACCTGTTCAAAATCATAACAACACCCAAGCCTCCACTGACAGATGGGTGGTGGCTGTGCATGAGGTACATTGGCCAGGAATGGAACCTGGGTCTCCCACATGGAAGGTGAGAATTCTGCCACTGAACTACCAGTGCCCCCACCACGAACATTATTTAGCATTATTCCAGAGGTCTTAGTCAATATAGTACGGCAAGGAAAACAAGAAAGGAGGAGAAGTAGAGTGAGTAGAAATTATAAATAAGTGAGCTGGGTTAATGGGTTGAGGGGGAGAAGGGAATGTGAAGAGCTGCATCGTACCAGCTATCGCGTATTGAACAGCAGCTCTGCCAGGCCGTGTGCCAGCCAATTTCCGTACCTTAATCTCATTGAATCCTCACCTTAACCCTGTAAGGCAGGTCTTGTTTTTATCCCCATTTTGTAGATGAGAAAACTGAGGTTTGGAGGGTTCATATTCTTTGGCCAAGGTTACACAATTAATGAGTGGTAGAGCTGAACCTTGAGTGAAGATCTCATCTTGAGGCCACACTCTTAACCCCTCCAAATGTCTCATCCAGTGCTTTGATGGTCAGTGCAGTTAAACAGCGTAAACCCCTTATTTGGTGTAGACCAGCAAAACAGAGTCTTCGATGTTCAGATATCCTGGGTAGAGTACAGATGTTTCAGGAAAGCCCTCATTTCCATTTTTCCATCCCATAGTGTCCTAAGAACCACCCTGCTTATTAGACTGTGGTTCTGTTTTTTGTTTGGAAGACAAAATCACTGTTCTGTTGCACCATAATGATACCAGTTTTCACAGAACAGGAATAAGCTGAAATACACTGAACTTCAGTAGCAAGCCAAGCATGACTGGCTGTGTATCTTGCAAAGCATGAGGTTCTCAATCTGACACCAGCTCCCCTGCCCTGTTGCTGTGCACAAGGGTTGGCTAACAGGGACTACTGTAATAAAACACCAGATCTCATTGTCTCCATAGCACATGTATGGGACACCCAGGGAACAAGGATCTTCTCACCCATTTTTCAAAGGAGAAGGAAATAGTGACAAGAGGCCACCCTGTCTTCTCTGCCTGAGCCATTCCCACTTGCCCCATTGGAAAAGGAGAGGTGCAGTATAGATTGTACTTTAAAACGTCTCCCAAGGACATTCCCCCCTCCGTGTTATGGTTATGTCCATTTGGCAGAATTGGAAGCTGAGGCCTAGAGAGGTTATTTACCCATCCTAAAGCACAGCAATGGAGCTGGGTTCCAGCCTCGATTTCAATTTCTCTGGCTTGTGACTCTGGACACTGTCTGCTATACCACACTGCTGAGAGCTGTCATAAATTTGAAAGAAGTTTCTAGGAGTTGTCCCAGTCAGATCAGCAAACACAGTAATGAGATAGCAGGTATGTAGTGATTCCTCTGAGCTGAGCAGGTTATCAGCTGCAGAGTGAGGAGGTCTGGCGAGGAGAGGGCCCTTCTGTGTTCTGGCTGGTCAGTGCCTCACCTGGTGATGGGTCCTCTGCAGACCGGGAGGCAGCCCTGTGGGAGATGGAGGAGCACCACCTACAGGAGAGACATCAGCTGGTGAAGCAGCAGCTCAAAGACCAGTACTTCCTGCAGCGGCATGAGCTCCTGCGCAAGCATGAGAAGGTGAGGCTCCCGAAGCAGGGTGGTGGGGTCTGCCACCAAGGAGACCTGGATAAGCCATGAGGCTGCATCGTGATGAGGGGTCTTGGGTATTGTCTGTGCCCCCGCAGAGGTGCCATTGTGGCTATGGTGAAGCCAT